CCACTAGACTCCATTGACAAAAACAGTCATTTTACCTTAGCACCAAGGTCCTTATGACTAAAACTAGTCCTGAAAAAACTTTTTAGTTAACTGAAATAAGATTAAAATTATATTGTGCACTTACACAACTAAAATAAAACAATTTAGATACACTGAAACTAATAAAAAAACAAACTAAACTATTAAACAATAGAAACTAAACTGAACTGAATTTATAACAAAAAATTAAAAGCAAAAAAGAAATAAAAACTAATGAAACATACAAAACTACAGTAACTCTGCGGCAGGACACGGGAGTTACAGGTCCACTGCAAACAGTTAACGTTAGTTTGGATCCAAACTAACGTAATAAAGTTGTACGATAACACAAACTGATCGAGGCAGCGGTGAGCTAAAAGCCCTGTTTTTGTCAATGGAGTCTGGTGGAGCGAGGCTGTCTTTGGTGGCTAAACTACGCTTTGTTGCTGCCTCCGTCCACAGCAGTACACCGATTAGCTTCCATGATCAGTTCCTCAAATAACCCCGCTTCCAAAAAAACCCAAATGAACCCTTTAAACCAGGATATGTTTTATTTTGGCCCCAACATCTGACCCAGGACCAGCCAATCAGTGTGTTCCCCAGACTTTAAAATGACGGCTGAACTCAGATCAGCTGTTATTGTGACGACAGTGCCCCTTCATTGAATGAAACAGGTCAGCAAACAGCTGTACAATCAGAAGATTAACAGTCCCTCAGAGCAAAAGGCAGATGCCCGGACTCTGAAACAAAAAGCACATCAATGTTCAGGAACATAAAAAGAAGCAAAAGTGTCAGAAATATATGAAATAAAGGAGAAGCTGATGGAGCCTCAGTGGAATTGAAAGCACGGTGCATGAATGTCACAAGAGAAGTGATGATCCAGCACATATTATCACAGCCCTGAATCCCTTTCAGTCACTGAGCTGTAAGTACATAAAACCTGTCAGGAGAAGAACTAATACTACATGAATGGTAAAGTTTTTACCAAACATTTGACGCCTGTAGAGCTGCCACTAACGCCGTTTCTCTACGCCACCAAATATAGAAATTACAGCAATGTTGGTAAAGACTTGTCCTCCATCAGAAGCTGAAGAGAGTTCATTCCAATTTTTGCCCATATTTTAGGCAGTATAGGAGGAATTACTGATACTGTATCAGTATCTGATCAACTCTACTTTACAACCTCCCTCGTCAATAAAAAGACGGCTACCACGCAGCCGAGTTCATACTTTTAATATACTGTTCCCGAAGCAAACTTTAAGAGCTGCTCAGTGACTGAAATGTCGGACCTTGTGGAGGCGGCGATCCAGGACGCTGATAAGACAATCCTGGATGGAGACTAAGGAATGACTTGATGCTTTGTTGAGTAATGGAAACCGTCCCGTGTGATCTGAGATTTGTTGGTCATAAACTGGATACAGAGACGCCCCAAAATCAAACCCTGTTAAAAGCTCCAACTGGCCTGCTTCCAAAACCCTGCTCACCACCACAAATAAAACCTTCCCCATGTGTTCATCTCACATCTTCATATTTACCACACTCTCTCGCGGAGGATGCAAACAGCTCAAGAAGCAAGCAAACGTCCCAACCAAGACGCAAATGAAGCCAAACGAGGAGTTAAAAATTGCGTCCTGCCCTGCGAGTCAATCCAAAAACATTCGACAGGGAATGCGAGGGAACTCCACTGTGAGCATTAGTTTTAATGCCAGCATCTGTTTTGACAGATTAGGTGACACATTTTTCAAATGGCAGAGGTTTTGGAAAGGAACTCAAACGCATCACTAATAATAATAATAATAATAATAATAATAATAATCATTCATCGTCTTCGACTTGAAAACAGCCAGGAGCTCATTCGGGCTCTAAAAAAAAAAATCTTAGAATATCTCCACTTTATCAAAGTTAACTGATGAGTTTGAACATTTTTTAATGCCATCGATTGAATGGTTTAATCTTTAAAGGAATAGGTTGATATTTTGGGAAATATGCTTATTTCTGCTTCCGAGATAACCAAGTTAACCTAGTCTCTAAGCTAAGCTAACCGGCTGATATTTACTGAATGGGAGTGGTACCAGTTTTACCATCAAAGGTTAGCTTAGCTTAGAGACTGGAAACAGAGGGAAACAGCTAGCCTAGCTCTGCCCAAAGGTAACACAAATCCACCTGTAAAGCTCACTGATTAGCTATTAGCATGTTATTTCTCGTTTGGTTACATCGCTCCGAGTGTAGAAACATCACGTTGAGGGTTTCCACGCGGTGCCTGACTATTTCTTAGCCAGGAACAATAACTGAAGTTTGAGAAAATTGGTAAAAGAAACTGATTGTTTGTTTCCATCCGCCACCGTTATATGATTTATTAGGACTTCATCGAGATAAGAATAGAAATTGGTTATTGCACATTTCATAATAATCATTATCAATCATTATATACTACATTAATTAATGGATAAATAACAAACAGATGTTGCTACGTGAACCTCAACATTGTTAACCGGACTTCATAAACATGATTTAGCCCAAAAATAACAGGCAGAGGAGGTGAAGCACTTTCTTAGCCCTGAGTAGTGTCTGCAGGCTGCACATGGCCCCCCCAGCAACCTCCACCAGTAGGGACGGGAGTGGATACGATTTTGCTGATACAAATGCTCATTCGTTATTGATTCCTGATCAACTCAACTGTTTTATAACCTCTAAAGTCCGAATACAGCGTAGAAACAGCTTTGAGTAGTTTGGGACCATTTCTTCGTCTCCGCAATGACTCCTTCATGTTGTGAGTTTAACTTCTTTTTATGCAAAGTGCAACTGTCAGACAATGATAAAGGTTTAATTGATAAGCTCGGAGGATTACCTTTCAGATGGATTGGACAAATCGGTTCTCTGGGAAATCTGTGAACATTTTTACCAACTCTTCTCTCCTGTCATCTACGTTACGGCGGCTGAACAGTAAAAGGACGTTTAGAAATCCTCGCTCACGTCGACGACGAGTCGAAACAGTCCGGCACATAAACCTGCTCCCTAAAACATGAAGCTTCATACTCATCTTTATGCTAAACTACGCTAACCATCTCCTGGCTCCAGCTTCATATCGAATAGCAGATATAAGAGTGGCATCATTCTTATCATCCAAGTCTCACCAAGAAAGCACATAAGCATATTTTCCTCAAGTGTTACTGTTCCTTTGAACGGCGTTGAAGCACTTAATGGCACTACATCTCAAAAACCTAATTTTCAGTATTTTTTTGTGTCTTTGGGCAAATATTAAAGAACTTCCCACAACTCCACATCCTTCCTCCCTCCTTCCATCCTTCCCTCTTTTCAAAACGAGCGTGAATCGAAGACACGGTGTGACCATCCAGACACATCAACATAAGTGATGCATGGATATCAGCTGACGGGGGACGGGGTGTAGATGGAGGGACGGTGGGTGGGTGGGTGTGTGGGGGAGTGGGAAGTGTTTGTTTGTGTTTTATCTGACGGTGACTCCGAGCTTCTCCAGCACTCGGGTCCCTTTCTCCTGGTACTCCTCCCGCGTCATCCAGAAGTTGTCCTTGTCCTTCATGATGTCGGCCAGCACAGCGCCGCCCAGGAACACCATGTGTTTACGCCGAGGGGGGTCCTCTATCCTGATCTTGAATTTCTGCGGTGGAGATGAGGTGGAGAGAAGAGCAGAGAGTGTTAACAGAGAAAAGGAAGAGATAATAATGTGTTGAAACCCCCGCTGCCCTGTGAGGTCCCTGAAATAGACTGGAGAAGATTGTCTTTTAATTACAGGTTGGAGGATTTCCCCGAGCGGCTGCAGGAGCAGCAGAGCGTGCTTCCTCTCAGGGAGAGACGTAGGAAGAATGAGAGGTTATATTTCACCTTGTCATCACGGGACCACGACAAAGAGACGTTTCTGAGCTGTGGAGGGCAAGACTGTGGCTTCACTACCCCCTAGTGGCAAATATAGTAACTGCAGAAGAAAGCTCTGGGGAAGACGCAGTGACTACTAACATCTGTCACTGATTAACCCAATGACATTAAAATAAGATGAAAATCAAGGATGGAAACGTGTGGAGCACAATTATCATTACATGTACAACTCAGTAGCTGGAAAAGGTACAAACAAGCTCCGAGCTGCACGTTTATCAAGTGCACATAAGCTAACAATCAAGATCAAGAGTTCAAGAGTGCTGCAGGGAAGTTACAGGGTTCCCACTCTTTTTAAGAAATCCTTTTCCAGGAGTTTTTCCTAAACAATACAGGACAGCACTCCGTGTTAGCTCGACAACATCGATTATTTCCAGGATATTTAGTAATTTTAATACTTTTCCAGGTGTTTTGCATGACAGGAAAACTAGGTTTTAAATCTCCAGGTTTTTCCGGACGTGTGGGAACCCTGAGTTAGCATCGCTCCGGTTCCTGGTTCCAATAAGATTTTTTTTTTGGTTCGGCAGTGGAGAGGACTTCGAGTTGCATTTCGTCAGTCGAGTCTATTATTAGCAATAAATCCTAATAACAGGGTTTGTTATTTCTATTTTAACAAGTAAAATGTTCAGTGGGACACTTGATGTTGGTGTTATTTGTTTTACTCACCGATAGCTTGTCGACGTCTCCCTTCAGCACTCGCTCCAGGTACAGCTGCTTCAGTTCGCGCTCCAGGCGGGACGGCAGGCCGGGATACATGGTGGAGCCTCCGGAGAGGACGATGTGCTTGTAGAACTCAGACCTGACAAAAAGTACATTTGATTTCTTTAAGTACGTGTAAATGTGTTCCACATCCAGGGATTTGGTGTGTTCGTTCTTTGCGTTATAGCTGGTTTGTTTGAGAAATCTGAACACACACCAGGCAGGAAAATACGTGAATCAGAGAGGAGGCGTTCCCGAGAGCTCACCTGGTGTCGATATCTGCGGCCTGGATGGTGTTGAAGAGCAGCTCGGCCACACCCACGCCCTCCACGTTGATGAGGTGAGGTTGAAACAGCGCCTCGGGGGCTTCGAACCTCTCACCTCCCACCTTGATCACCCTGCCGTCGGGGAGCTGCGGACAGAAATGCAACGACGTCTTAACGCTGTTAAACTCTGAACTCTGTGATTACAGTACGCTTTATAATACAGGACCATGACTCACCGTGTACGACTCCACCAGCACGGTTGTCTCCAGCGCCAGCTTCTGCTCCTGTTCGATGTTATAACCGACGTAGCACAGGTTCTCCTTCATCATCCGCACCGTCTCAAAGTCAGCCGAATGGTTGAAGGCGTAACCTCGCAGCAGCAGCAGCTGGCGGTCGGCACAGGGAGGATGGTGGTTATCGGTGTTATAGAATACAGGTACAATACATTATCTTTCTTCTTTATAGTGCTTAACTGAGCGGTGCTGCCGGTACCTTGATGAGGTAGCGTGTTATGTCCCTGCCTGCGATGTCGAGGCGTCGGGTCAGGTGGGGCAGCGAGAAGCCCTCATACACCGGACAGATGTGAGTGACGCCATCACCGGAGTCGACCACCACGCCGGTCAGCAAACCTAAAACAAAACAATGTGTATCAGTCAGCTCTTGTACCTTTAAGTCAGGGGTGTTATTTATTCTGTGTTCTGAACAACCAGACTGTGTGATGTTACACTGCGTTGAAATAACCAAATGTTCAGTCTCAGGCTGGTTGTTCTGACACATTTACAATCATTACTGCTTTTTCTGTAAGCATTTAGAAGGTATTTAGAAATGGTGTCATCACTTGGTTTGTCCAGCAGAGCGTGCTGCGACTCCACAGTTAACACGGTCAGTCAGCACATGTATCAGAGTATCACAGCTGAGCGGACGGTGGCCCGGACTCAAACGTCCAAAAAGAAAAAGCCTCTTTTTATTCCAGCTCACAAATTCACCAGCGTATCGGTACCTTGAGCGTAGAGCGTGAGGACGGCCTGGATGGCGATATAAACTCCTGTGAACTGGTACGTTTCAAACATCACCTGGCAGGAGAAACACAAAGCATCAGTTCACTATTCTGTAATGTTTTATAATCAAATAGGATCACTAACGAACTGAAACACCACCTCTATAATCTTTTCTCTGTTCTTGGTGGGGTTCATGGGCGGCTCGGTCAGCAGGATCTTGCAGTCGCGTGAGTTGATGTTGAGTTTCTCGGGGCCGAAGGTGTAGTCCCACAGGTGCTTCATGTCGTCCCAGTTCCTGACGATGCCGTTCTCCATGGGGTAGTTCACCTCCAACATGGAGCGCAGCTCGCTGGCCTCGTCCCCCACCATCAGGTCCTGCGAGAGGTCAAAGGTCGGCGGTTGATTTTAACTCTTTAACTGGGACTTTTCTTTCATCTCTGTTTCTGTAGCTCACAGACACTTACCAATATGAGAACTATTAATACCATCACAGTTCTAACACTTTAAAAACATCCCTCACTTTATTTCTGCAACAAATTAAACGTTAATAAAAGTTGGTAAAAACTGCTTAAATATAAAAACTAAAAAATAATAATAATTTAAGTGTAAACTGAGTTTTTTCATTTCACTTTGTTATCGTCATCTACTGTTGATATTTGCACAGTTCAAATCATCAGGAAACAAATGATTGCAAAACTCTTGGCATTAGCCTTTTTAATGACGTATTATAAGCTGCTTAGAACTATTGTTAGGAAGTTAAACTGGTCATAATCCCCTCAAATATCTACTTTATATCGCTGTGAGAACATCAACACGTTTCTCCCTCTAACAACTGTGCTTCATTTGTTACAAGATTACATCAGAACAAGTGATGATAACGTCACGATTACTCCTCTGTACTGAACAGAGCTTGAACACATCATACTGTAACTCACTGCGACGGGTAACGAAGGTAAATCACTGAAACCATCGCTGCTCTCTCATATTTGATCACTTACATGCTGTGGTCTGAAGCCTAACTGCGTCCTGATGAACCCAACCAATCAGGATCGTGAATGAAAACAGACTCCGTGGAATTACCTTGATTTCAATGTTGCCGACTTTAGCCGTGGAGCGGATGATTGGCCGGCCAACCAGCGCTGGGAAAATGTGTTCGGGGAAGTTGGAGCCTGCATAGCCGCACTTGACAAACTAGGATGAGAAAGAAAGAAGAAAAAAAAAAGAACATGTTAAAATATTCAAAACAACATCGTATATGTTTGAGTTAGTGAGTAAAATGAATCCTGAAGGTTTGGAGCCGGAGCTCTTATACTGAGTCATTTGTTACAGTACGAGTATAAACAGAAGAGAAACCTTCATAAACAGCAGAGAAAGAATAAAATACAAATATTTGTATGTATAACTGTGCATGTGCAATGTTTTAGTTGTGCTTAACAGGTTAATAATATTGATTATATATCGATCGATATCAGATAATATAAGCCGCACCAACACTCACAGCGATCAGCGGTTAAAAGTTCAGTTTTAATAGAATATAAGACTTTTCTGAACATGTTGCCCCAGTGAGTGTCTCCTGTTGCCCCAGTGAGTGTCTCCTGTTGCCCTGTTGCCCCAGTGAGT